CTTATAAGATAGTTCATTCGATTACATGAAATCAACTTTAACTTGAGAATATCCGTCAGAAAAAGATTATAGCATGTAATTTGTCTTTAAAAAGACAAACACATGACATGATGACAGTAAAATTCTCCTGTTAGCGATTCCATAGTAAATTATAAGGGAAAAAACCAGGAAAAAAACCTCACAATACTATCCCGACATTGTAAGTATTTGTTCGTGAATTTAGTTTACCTTCAACAAACATCAGAATTCTGATTTTATATGTTACGTTATTTAAAAAACATAAATGATGTATCCTCTATATGTTACTGACTTACTAATACTGGTATTTTCTTATTAATAACTTCCTCTTTCAATATTTGTAACCAGATCCTACTACATTCTGCCGAGGAATTTGCAACACCATTGGCCTCATTTAGCATAATTAGAGCCGCTTCTTTAATTTTTCTTTTTTTACCATCCGTTTAAAAAAATACCTTGTGAATGCGATCAGTTTTATTTGGGTGAATCATCAAGGCCATTAAATGTTAGAATAAGTGAACATCAATCTTATATTAAAAATAGAGAATTTGATAGATCTCAAATATGTAAACACGCATGGGATAATGAACATAGGGTTCAACGGAATAATTCAAATCTAGTTCTAAAAGAAACGCATAAAAAAAAAGAAAAATCAAAGAAGCGGCTCTAATTATGCTAAATGAGGCCAATTGTGTTGCAAATTCCTCGGCAAAATGTAGTAGGATCTGGTTACCAATATTGAAAGAGGAAGTTATTAATAAGAAAATATCAGTATTAGTAAGTCAGTAACATATAGAGGATACATCATTTATGTTTTTTAAATAACGTAACAAATAAAATCAGAATTTTGATGTTTGTTGAAGGTAAACTAAATTCACGAACAAATACTTACAATGTCGGGATAGTATTGTGAGGTTTTTTTCCTGATTTTCCTTCATAATTTACTATGGAATCACTAACAGGAGAATTTTACTGTCATCATGTCATGAGTTTGTCTTTTTAAAGACGAATTACATGCTATGATCTTTTTCTGAGGGATATTCTCAATTAAAGTTGATTTCATGTAATCGAATGAAAAAGATATTGTGACAAATTTTATTCCGTTTAACGAACGTATGATGCTAGTTCAGCTGAAAGCCAAACCTCTAAACATAAATCTAATCCAAGTGCATGCTCCAACATCTGATAGCAATGATGCTGAGGTCGAAAAATTCTACGCGGACTTAGAACTGTTAACAAAAACATAAAGAAGCAGGAGGTAAAAATATTTATGGGCGACTTTAATGCTAAAGTCGGTCGAGGAAAAAACTGGAAATATAGTAGGAAATTTTGGGTTAGGGTAAAAGAAACGAAAGAGGAGACAGACTAGTCCAGTACTGCCAGGAGAAAGAATTAGTCATAACAAATACATACTACGACCTACCCCTACGAAGATTATACACGTGGACTTCTCCAAAAGATAACACCAACAATATAATCAGAAACCAAATAGATTTTATAACGATTAACAAAAGGTTTCGTAAAATACAAAGTGCAAAAACCTATCCAAGCGCAGATGCAGATACGGATCATAATCTATTACTAGCAAACGTCAACATTAAACTCAAGAAACCGGAGAAAAAAGTTAAAACCACCAAAATTAACATGAAAAACCTAAAAGACGACAACTGCCAACAGCAACTAAACGCAGAGATAAATAAATTAACTGAAGGAAGCGTTGAATGGGCAGATATGGAAAAAGCCATACTAAAAGCGGGAAAGGAGGTCCTAGGCGAAGAAGAGAAAATAACTAAAAAAAATGGATGACACCGGAAATAGTTGAGCTAATAACTGAAAAAAGAAAAAACAAAAATAAAGATGAAAAATAAATATAAAACCATCAAGAATAAAATCAAATATGAAATCAGAAAGGCTAAGGAGGAATGGATGAACAAAGAATGCCAGGAATTGGAAGAACTCAGCAACAAACATGACACCTCAAACTTACATAAAAAAATTAAAGAACTTACAGGCAACACCAGACAAAGAAGAACACTCATAACAAGAGATAATAATGGAGAAATACTTACTGAAGAGAGCAAAATAAAGGAAGTATGGGAACAATATATAATCCATCTTTTCCATGACGAGAGAGAAAATGAACAAGATATAGGTGAAGAAAAACAATACCTACAAATTTTACCCTCAGAAGTAAAGAATGCCCTACAGAATGCAAAACAAGGAAAAGCACCGGGTCCTGATCAAATTCCAGTTGAACTGTTAAAAGCCTTAGATGACGGTAATATAAAGAGACTCACCCGAATTCTCAACCACATATATGTAGAGGGCAACATCCCGGAAGAATGGCTTAAATCGATATTTTTACCTCTACCAAAAAACAACAATCCCAAATCATGTAATGACTATAGATTGATAAGCCTAATGTGCCACCCTTTAAAGATTCTTTTGAAAATTGTTCAAAACCGAATTTATAAGAAATGTGAGGAACAGATAGATGAAACTCAGTTTGGCTTCAGAGGAGGCATGGGTACAAGAGAGGCATTATTTGCGTTGACGGTACTCTTGCAGAAATGTCGGGAATATAACAAGAGTGCATATGTATGCTTCATAGACTTTAGGAAGGCCTTTGACCGAGTGCAGCATATGAAGTTAATAGATGAATTAAAAAACATCAATTTAGACAAAAAAGACATTGAGTTTATTAAGGCTATATACTGGAACCAGAAAGCAGTAGTAAAGGTGAACGATATAGAAACAAATAATATACCGATTGCGAGAGGGGTTAGGCAAGGATGCGTCTTGTCTCCGACGCTTTTCAACGTGTACTCACAGGTCATATTCAGAAAAGCCTTATGGGAAAGAAAAGAGGGAATAAGAATTGGTGGAGAAATCATAAACACCATGAGATTTGCAGATGACACGGTAATTATGGCTGAGAGTATAGAAGATCTACAAACTTTACTAGATGCAATAAATAGTGAATGCATTCAAATGGGACTTGACATCAACACAGATAAGACCAAATTTATGATAGTATCAAGGAGTCCAATAAATAATGAACAACTAACTCTTGGTGGACAGCAAATAGAGAGAGTGACAAAATATAAATATCTGGGAGCTTACATCAACACAGAATTAGATCCAGACCAAGAGATCCGGGTACGAATAGAAATGGCAAGGGCAGCGTTCTTAAAATTCAAACAATTGTTCTGTGACAAAAATCTGAATATTGCGCTGAGACTGAGGTTTGTTGAATGTTACGTCTGGTCGCAATTATTGTACGGGGTAGAAACATGGACACTAAAAGCGCAAATAGTTAAAAAGATTGAAGCCTTTGAACTTTGGATATACCGGAGAATGTTGAGAATCCCATGGACTGCCAGGGTCACCAATGAGGAAGTGCTGAGAAGAATGGGTCGAGTCAAAAAATTGTTGAGAACGATAAAAGTACGCAAGACTGCATACCTTGGACACATACTAAGAAATAATAAATATAGTCTTCTGCAGGTCATCATGCAGGGTAGAGTCGATGGCAAAAAGGGAATAGGTAGAAAGAGGAAGTCATGGCTGCGAAATATTCGAGACTGGACAAACATGACTGTAGACGAATTATTCCACGTTGCAAAAGACAGAGAAGCTTTTAAAAATGTGGTCGCCAACCTCCGTTAATGGGGACGGCATAGGAAGAAGAAGAAGAATCGAATGAACTATCTTATAAGTAAAGTCGTCCCAGGAGCGCAACTCAACAATATTGGCAATATCATTTTAAAGTCGTCTACTTTAAAATGCATAATGTATGTCTGAATTGTCAATATAAATGAGTCAGATAAAATTAAATTATTAGAAGAATTTTTCACTATGTAACAAAAAACAAAATTTGTTTAATTTACTGTTTGTATTTTTAGAACGATTTCCGAAGTGCAAATTGAAAACGTCAATAAACGTATTTTTATCTTTAATTGTGGCTTATTCCCACTTAAATTGTAATCAATTTACAATGTCACAAGAAAATAGCTTCAGAACAATTTTAATACATTCATTTGAACTAATTGGTTCAATGGATCTCAATCATATTCACTTTCACGTTCCAACTGTTGACTGAAAGCGTCGCTCAATTCACAATTTATCCACGACATTTTTACCTTGACTAACACACTGTCGCTAGTGATGTAATATATTGGTTATATTTCTTGGACGCATCTGACCCCATATTTTTGTTACTATTCTACTTCCGGTTTCACCGGAAATACCCTTAACTTATTTAATTTAAGTGGGACACCCTGTTTACAGGTTTTCGATTTTAAAAGGAGAATTCGGTAGCAAACATGTGTTAAATCAAAAAATAAATCACTTTACAGTTAAATAAAATTTCCCCAAATCTATTAACATTGTAGAGTCAGCTCCTATCATTTACGTAGCCTGTTGACTTTCTAGTTAAGACACAGGTTTACGTTTTTACTCTTATTAGACTAGAAAATAAATTAATAGGTTTAAAGACTGCGAGGATGTAAGCTTTTGCGAGCATTTTGAACGTTTAAAGTGACCGTTCTAAATTATTATTCATAGCAACATAAATTTGTTCATTATTTACACATACAGTGATTTATATCCTGCTTTAACAAAAGTTTCTGCCAAACTTGGTGTGTATGAATGGGAATAATAAGTATGTATTTTAAATTTTTTTCCAAAACCGACCCCATATGTAAGTAAAAAAATACTTATCAAAAATGCCAATTTCACTAAAAACTTTCTGCATAAGCATTTTTGTTTATACGTTCGAGAACAAATCACTCATTATATATTAGATGACCCATGTATTATTTTTAATTTCAAGTATATTTAAAAATTTTGTATTAGCATTTTGTCTCCTTTTTACAATACGAAAAATCAACTGCCATTTGTACAGTTCTGTAAAATGATAAACACAACTATTATGTACAATTGTTTTACCATTGACAAAGAAAATAACAAAAAAACAAACGTATTTAGAGATTTATGAGATTTATTAATAAAACATTTAAAATAATTTACAAAATTTTTAACAAAGAGAAGAAAAAGAAAGGGAAAAAAGAAAATTGTACACTCTTAGCCACATGAACACTTAATGATGACCGTGGGTATCAGGGATCCATTGACCTCCCAAAGCACCTTCCAAAGATCCTCTTGAAACTCCGTGTCCGATTCCATGTCCAAGACCAAGACCAAGGCCAAGAGGTCCTACAGCTCCAAGACCAAGAGGTCCTACAGCTCCAAGACCAAGAGGTCCTACAGCTCCAAGACCAAGATGTCCTACAGGTCCAAGACCAAGACCAAGACCAAGAGGGGCACCGAGGACACCGCGAGCAGCGATAGCAGCGGGGGCAGCAAGGACAGCTGCAGGTGCACCATGAGCTACTGGTACATCAGGAATCCATTGTCCTCCAAGAGCACCTTCGAGGGCACCTCTGGCACTTACTCCAGCACCTAATGCTCCATGAGCGACGATACCTGCACCGTGTCCAGCAACTGGAACATCAGGAATCCATTGGCCTCCTAGTGCGCCTTCAAGGGCTCCTCTGTTGCCTACGATACCGTGGCCGAGAAGTCCTCCAGCGCTGGCGGCAGCAACAGCTACGAAAAGTACAGCTACAGACTGAAAGCAAAATCGAAATTTAATTATACAGTAATTATTATACATATTACACCTAATTAAATTCGAGTTAAATCACCCATAGTGCAAGAAATGCAAAAAATAAGGAAAAAACTGTCGTATATGTCCTTTGTTATTGTTAAATATTTAGCAATATAAGTAGAAGAAATCTTTAAACTCTCCATAAAAAAACTGCTAAAGCACATAATTTCTTTGAGGAATTTAACATATAATAACCCAAACTTTGTTATAAAAATCTCACCAAAATGTATTAGAAACATGAAGTGTATTGGTGATTGAAAAAAAAAAGAGAAATGAATAAATATATGTATTCATTTACAACAATTACTACCTGTTTTAAATTACTTGTTAACAAAAAACATTATTATTATATATCATTAATAATTTTTTGTTAGTTAGCTTAAGTAATTTAAAACAAGTAGTAATTGTTCTTATGACTTTACTAGAATAGTGGTAGAGTCTAAACAATTAAAAGAAAAAAGATTTATAAACTCGTATAAGATTTTATGGTGTACTTACCAATGAGTTCATGTTGTTTTAATGTGTTGATATCTAAGAAGTGATACAATTATTAACTATTACCTCGTATTTTATATAGTTATTGATAACCTTGTCCACACCCAAATAGAACATTATCATTTATTTACTTTCTGTATGAAAGCTTATGCCTCAAAGAAGGATAGCGACATTTGCAACGGTATTAACCAAAAAAATCAAGTATCCTGTTTTTTTTTTAAATCAACCTTTGGAGTAAACAAGTGAATAGTTCGATATCTATATATTTATATATATATATATATTATATATATATATATATATTATGTATATATATATGTATATATATATATATATATATATATATATATATATATATATATATATAATATATATATATATATATATATATATAAAATAAGGATTACTCGAAGAGTGGGCGGGTTTTTCGGTCAAAAATTGGAGAAAGAAGACAAAAATGATGGCTACTTCATCTATTTATTGAAAACGTTTCGCTATCCAATTTGATAGCATCATCAGTTGCCACCATCTTTGTCTTTTTTCTCCAATTTTGACCGAAAAACCCGCCACTCTTCGAGTGATCCTTATTTTTATATTGGATTGACGGTCGTACTTCTTTTCTCGATATATAATAATATATTATATATATATATATATATATATATATATATATATATATATATATATATATATATATATATATATATATATATTGGAAATAAGCCACAATTAAAGTTTCTTCTTCTCGTGCCACTACAAGTGGAGATTGGAAATCATCATGGCCACTGTGACTTTGTTAGCAGCGCGCCTAAAAAGTTCAATCGAACTACACCCGAACCATTCACGTAGATTACGAAGCCATGATATTTTTCTTCTTCCCACACTTCTTTTGCACTTAATTTTGCCCTGCATGATGTTTCTTAAAAGTTCGTACTTTTCACCTCTCACAATGTGCCCCAAGTATTCCATCTTTCTAGTTTTTATCTCATTTAGAATTTCGCATCTTTTGTCTAAAATTTGGAGTACTTGCGTGTTAGTGACGCGGTCCATCCATGTTATTCTGAGAATGCGCCTATAGTACCACATCTCGAAAGCTTCGATGTTTTTTATGGTCAACTGTTTTAGTGTCCAAGCCTCAACTCCATATAACAGGGTAGAAAAGACATAACACCGCAATATTCGTATTCGTAACTTTATATTGATATCACGATTGCAAAAGAGTTTGCGCATTCTATTAAAGACTGATCTATCGATTTCTATTCTACATCTAATCTCTTTTGTTTGATCAGTATCGTCTGTGATCCAAGCACCTAGATATTTATAACATGGCACACGCTCAATCGTTGTATTGTCTATTACAAGATTAGCTCTGATGTTCTTTGATTCGTGATTACCATAAATTTAGTTTTTTCAAATTAATTTTCAAGCCGTAACTGTTACAGTATATATTGAGACTTTGAACGAGATGTTGTAGTTCTACTAGCGTTCCCGTTAGGAGAACTGTATCGTCAGCATACCTTATATTGTTGATCGTCTCACCATTTATTATCAGACCAAGATCTTCTTCCTCGAGTGCTTGTTCACAGATAGCTTCACTATACAGATTAAATAAAAGTGGCGATAAGATAACATCCCTGCCGGACTCCTCGACGGATTTGAATTTCTTCTGTTAGTCTGCCCTCAACCTTGACATTTGCTGTTTGATTCCAATATAGATTGCATATAATTCGAGTATCTCGGCTGTCTATATTTTTCTTTATTAGAACTTGTCTAAGTGGTTGTGTCATGTTGTACTTTGTCAAAGGCCTTTTCGAAATCAATAAAGCAGGCGTAAATTTCATGGTTCATGTCTAAGCATCTCTGTGAGAGAACGTTCATTGCAAACACAGCCTCCCTTGTACCCAGCCCTTTTCTGAATCCCATCTGAGTGTTACTGATATCTACGTCTAATTTCCTATAGATCCTATTATGGATTATTTTTAAGAACAGTTTTAGAGCATGACTCATCAAAGCTATCGTACGATATTCGTTACATTCCTTTGTATTTGCCTTTTTTGGCAGTAGTATAAAAGTCGAACGGAGCCATTCCCTAGATATTATTCCAGTTCTATATATTGTGTTAAATAGATCTAGGAGTATTTTAATAGATTCATCGTCCATAAGTTTGAGCAGTTCTACGGGAATTTCATCAGGACCGGGGCCTTACCACTTTTTGCTTGTTTGATTGCACATTTCTATTTCTTCTCTGATTATATCAGGCCTGTATCATCTGTATATTCGTTTGAGATTTCTTGTCTATCTTTGTCATCAAACAGTTGTGATATGTATTCTATCCATCGGTTCATTTTTTGTTGTAAATCTGTTATAATTATACCATCTGTATCTTTGATCTGTCCTGTCTGTGTTTTTCTTCTCCTTCCTGTCATTTCTTTAATCTTTTTGTGTACATTAAAAAAGTTCATATTTTCATGTTTAATATTCTCCCATTTTTGGTCTATGTTATCAGTATTTCTATTCAGTTTCTCTATATTTTGTATGTGTATGTATTTTTTTAATGATCTTTAGTTTTATTCTTAATGTGACTACTACAAGATTGTGATCCGAGCCTATATCAGCTCCTGGGTAGGTTTTAGCTGAGAGTATAGAGTTGGTGGAATCTTTGACTAACAAGGACAAAGTCAATTTGGTTTCTGACTACTCTACCTTTGGTGTCACTCGGAGATTTCCATGTGTACAGTCGTCTGTTAGGTAACTTAAAAAGAGTGTTAGCAGCTACTAACTCCTCCGCTTGACAAAATTGTACCATACGGTCTCCTCGTTCGTTTCGTTCTCCTAATCCGTAGTCACCCACATAACCGTCCACACATCATTGTCCAATTTTGGCATTAAAATCGCCATTATTACTGTAGTAATGATGTTTCTTCATTGATTTTAGAATTTGTTCAGATCGTAATAGAAACTTTCAATTTCATCATCATCTTTATCAACCGTAGGAGCATATACTTGTATAATATTTATAATTTGTTTATTTGACTGAAGTTGTAGTGTCATATATTCTATCAGAGAAGGAGTAAAGCTTGTTACACAGTTACTGATTTTCTTTGATACCAAGACAGCGACACCGTAACGATGAGTTGAACTGAGGGTGCCTGGAATTGCTTTGTGCTTGATAACTTTAAATAATATTGCCCAATATTGTTGAGTTGCGCTTCTGGGACGACTTTACTTATAAGATAGTTCATTCGATTACATGAAATCAACTTTAACTTAAGAATATCTCAGAAAAATGCATAGCATGCAATTTGACTTTAAAAATACAACCTCATGCTACGATTATAGTACAGTTCTCCTGTTAGTGATGCCGTAGTAAATCATGAGGAAAAAACTCATATTACTATCCCGACATGGTATGTTTTGGTTTTACATTTTGTTTACTCTCAATAAACACCAAATTCTTATTGTGTATGTATATTATTTAAAAAAAAACATAAGTCATATGTCGATATGATACTGACTTACTTTTAGTGGTATTTTTTTATTAACTTTCTATTTTAATATTGGTAACCAGATAATATTGTATTGCATTTAGGAATTTGATAAATTTGGGTATTAAGAGCCGCTAGATTTTGTTTATCGGTGGTTTCTTTTAGGACTATACTTGAGTAGTTCTATTGAACACTATGTTTAGTTATAGTTTATTCGTCTTCCGGGTTTGGACCGTGTCATTTGTGAGTGACCCAAAAGTGGGCTCATCTCACAAATGACACGGTCCAAACCCGGAAGACGAATAAACTATAATTCTAACTCTGGCCGTGGAAGCCTACGATTTCATTTGACTATGTTTAGTTTCCTATGCGTGTTTATATATTTGAAATCTATCAAATTCTCTATTTTAAATTCAAGATTGATGTTCAGTTATTCTAACATTTAAAGGCTTTGATGTTTCTTCTAAATAAATATGATAATATGATGATAAAACTGATCGAATTCACAAGGTATTTTATAAATACAATTCTTTGTTCTTTCTTGTTCTTAGAGATTAGAGATTAGAATAAATCCTTTATTAATTACCTATCTTCTTATAAATGCGTATATGTGAAAATGATTTTGAATAATATATTATTTTAATAGTTTTTGCCATTTCTTTACAACCCTAAATTTTGATACAAAAAAAAGGTTTATTAATAAGAAAAAATTATTTAACCACTAATGAAACAGGAGATATTTATTTTAAAGAAACATAAAAAGTAATTCTGAAACAAACTAAAAATGATAAAATAAATAATTAATTTGAATATTCATCACAATCAATTATATTGACATATGAGAGGCATAAAAATGCATTGCACTTTTTTACAATAGAATTTTGACTTTTTGTCATTTTTACACTGAATGCACCTTTTCTTTGACCCAGTAGATATATCTAGCAAATTTTCTCGAATTTTAATATTTGCAACTTCTTGACG